ATATGGTCAACCACGGCAGAATATACTTCCTTTCTTGTCATAAATTACAATGATTTGAATTTTTGATTTGATTTGATTTGAATTGTTCATGAAAACACTTAAAAAATTTAGCATTTTTGAGCATTTTAAAATCAATTTAGCATTTTTTCTAGCATTATTTTGGATGGGATTTAGCGGCAACATTTTATGAGACCTGATCACACTGAATATTGAACTTATTAATATGAAAGTAAATAAAAGAGGTCGTTTGGTATTTTTTCGTACTTCAACTGGTACTTTTTGAGTTTTCTAAAATATTGCATATATAAACATAAAATTAAACACTCAGTGTCCTGATTAAACGAAAATTGAAGAAGGAGACTTTCTGGTCCTTTTCTGTTATTTTACTAATACTTTTTAAATTTTCTATAATATTTAACCTAAAAACATAAAATTGGATACGCAGCTTCCTGATTGTATAATAATATAATAAGTCAAATTAATAATATAAAAGTAAAATTTTTAAAAAGTCTAATTTTTATTTGAACGTTAAATTCAGAAAAATAAACATATTTTAAATGAAAAAGAGTCTAAAATGTCCATAGCATTTATATTAAGTTACAATTGTATGTATTCAAAAACGCAAAAAATAATTATTTAATTTATTAGAATAGAATTAAATTCGATTTACTTTCGACTAGATTTGTGTACTCGGTTTTAAAACGAGAAAAATTATGAGAACTCGTATTTAAACGAGAAATTTACTCGGATTCGATTTACAGAACAGACAGGATTGTGTTTGAATAAAATCAAATTTCACGTTTTTATCCCCTTTCGGTACTTTTTTCCTCCCTATTAACGAAATAAAATTTGTATTCCAAAAAGTTGCAACATCGTAGTGGGATTCCGTTATTATGTATTCATCATACATAATGCATTTCGTTACATGAAATGTAAGCGGCCCTAACTAACAAAAAATTCAAAATCAATTTTATTGGTGATTCTAATGCATTGCATCAAAACAAATGTTCACACCAAAAATTGGACTCCTCCGACTATAATTATCTATTTTATTGACAGAAAACAAAAGGCCATATCTACAAAAACATTTAAATATTAAAGGTAAAAAGTCCAATTTATCCATTTTATATACGCCATTGTCAACTATCATAACAAATAATAGGTTTGACTATTACACACACTACAAATAAATCGCGTTGATAGAAACAAACTTTTCAATTTAAATAGTTTTTTGCTTCTCCTGTAAAATTTTAAAAATGTTAGATAGGACCGTTTGCGTTTTAGGTGACGATATGTACATATCGTCACCTGAACATACGAACTTTATAAAATAATTTTTAGTAAGATTTATTTTAATTATATTCATTATAAATCTGTTATACCCTACCACTTTGTTGGGGAGGGTATATTGAGTTTGTGATAATGTTTGTAACGCACAATAATATTGCTCCTATACCCACCAATACCAATTGGCTTAGAATCATTATCTGTGTCGATTTAGCTATGTCCGCCAATCTGACAGTCCGTCCATGTAAACCTTGTAATCAAACTACTGGTCGCAATTTTGAAAATAATTCAATGAAATTTGGTATATGATATATTGTACCATAGACGAAGCCTCTTGAATATGGTTAACTTCGGTCTATTATTTCACCTATCCCCCATACAACTGAACCCTCGAATAGGGCTTGTAAACATTGTAATCAACCTACAGGTCGCAATTTTGAAGATAATTCAATGAAATTTGGTACATTACCTTCTATTGTATCTGAGACGAAGCCTATGAAAATGGTTAACATTGGTCCATTATTTTTCTGAAGTTCACAAAAATATTTTAAATATACTCGTATTTCAACAAAAAGCAAAACCAAGTTATATACTAGCATTGATGACCCTGAAGAATTTTATAATGATAGGGCCTCATTTGGTCCTTATACAGAGTCCCCTTCAAAATTTAGCTGAAATGTCCACAATTTTATTCAATAATAAATGGCTTAAGTATATCTGAGACAAGATACAATTCAACATAAATACTTTATTATGAAAACTATAAATCACATTTTATTTTTATAACTTATGTAGGGTGTTATATGATCGGCCTCGCCCGACTTTTACTGGAAAGTACGCAAACACATCTAATAACAAAGTAAGATGAAAACAGCTGTTGTTTCACTTTTTTGTATGTGTTTCTATAAAAATATTTAGTTTTATCTAATGCGAGTTGCTTGTTTTATTAATAATTTGAAAAAATGAAGAGAGCCATACGACTGTCAAATTTTCATACGTATTTTCGCTCAATGTGTGATGGTTTTATTACATATTGCGTTTAGGCCTGATAAAAACACCGCCATGCCACCAATAGCATCCACTGCATCAAAACCACTTCAGTCTACCCAAAGATCACCAAATCACTGGAAGACAGTTTAATGGATGAACATGATTGAAGTTATCCATATAAACATCCATCGGTGCGAGGTGGCTACCAACGCTCTGATGGCTAAAATAAACATTGGTAAGACACATATACATAGCTTTGATCCAGAATCCTTGGACGATCCGCAACAATGTTTCTGGATTAAATCACGTAAATTTCCAACTTTTCTACGTTGATACAGGTTCTCGCCAGAGAACATGTATCTTATGTCGCAAGAACTTATGTTTTTTCCTCTCAACAGGATAATCCACATCGGATGCAACGGTGCTGAAGCAAGGTCATGCCAACATATACCTTGCATCTGTTTACCTGCCCTTCGATTCGCCGACAGTAAACTGAAAATGATTGAAGAGCCACAAAGAAAAATAAGAAAATTGTAATAGGTTGAGATGCCAACTCCCACCATGTAGCTTGGGGTAGCACAAACACCAATCGCAGGCAACAAGCCCTCATAGATTTCTATAATAATAAAAACTTGATCAAATTAAACTTAGGTAATAAAGCTACCGTTGTCAATAGAATCAGAGAAGAAGTATTAGATATAAATATATGTTCAGAAGAGCTTATAAACGAAATTCAGGATTGGAGAGTTTCGGACGAGCACTCGTTTTCAGACTATTGATACATAGATTCAAAATACTACGGCCATCATCAAAGCCGATAAAGTTTCTGAATAAGTCTAAAATTAATTGGACAATATTCGGTACCTCACTAAAGAACAGTTTAGGTCAGGATGCTTTTCAATGTCGAAATAAAGAGGATATAGACGGCAAAGTAGAAACAAGTGCCCTAGTTGAATCGTTCGAGGACAGCTGAGATCCCGAACCTTCAGAAGACTTTTCGCAAACTGTTTAACCGGACACGGCGTAAAAATATAATAAAGAAAAGGCCATACGATATTCCTGGAAAATTTTCTGTGAACAGGTAGATAGCGTAAATAACGTATCGAAGATAAAAAGCCTATTAAAGACTCATGTCCAACCGGAAGCTATTATCGATGAGACGGAAAAGAGGCTGGAGGATATGGAGGAAATAATGAAACTCCTAATGGACTCTCATTTATTGGGGTCTAACACAGAAATTTTTATTATATCTGGCATGGTTAAGGATGCAATCAAGTGCTTTGCACCCTATAAAGCTGTAGGGCCGGATGGCATTTTCCCGGTAGTTTTGCAGATGGAGGGGTACATCCAAACCACGAAACCGACACTTAAGTCCTATCGACCGATTAGATGTACGATATAACTCTCAAGAAAAGGGTATTTCGCGGTACATCACAAGGTAGCATTTTGTCCCCTTTATTTTAAACTACTACAGAGAGTTCAGCGAACATGCTGCTTGGGTATGAGTGGTGCCATGATTACTACTTCAACCAAAGCTCTTTAAACTTTGCTAGATATTCCGCCCATTGAAACATATTTAAGTAATGTGGCGGCACTTTCAGCCGAACGGCTCATAACTTTAGGTAAACTGGCCAAAAGCGTCATCAATATATACTGGACACACTATGCACAATCATCGTTCTTGCTGATCGCATACCAGTCACAGAATATGTCGGAAACTTTGAAACGCTGATCCCAGATGGAATGTCTTGGTCATTAAGAAGGTTTAGATCTGTCAAAAATGTATAGGAAATCTACATTATTTCAATTAGTTTTGACCAAAACAACTAGATTTGGTCAAAACTAAACACGGAAAATGATTAAAAACTGATGAACTGATTGATCATCCTGGTGTTTAAAATATCATGGTTTCCAAACTTATATTACAAGCAGTTGGATATCTGAAATTGATTCTTATGTAATTGTTTTTCTTTGAATGGAACAAAAACAATTGCACTTAAAAATGGCTCAAAAATGAGTTGAAGCTGATTAGAAAAGTTGCTCATAAAAAATTATTTTAGAAGAGTTGATAAACAATTTTGTGTGACCTAAAATGAGTTAATATAATTCTCTCTGTGAAAAAGGCCTTAAATGTATAAGTATTTGAGTTTTTGTAATATAAAAGACCCTGTAGGATTTTTATAAACTACTTTAAAATCGAGTTGACTATTTGCTCACTCAAAATTGGTGTATACAACAAACATTGAAATAGTTTTCATTATAAAATTGTGAAAATTGAAAAAATAAAAATTAAACTAATTTTCAATATTTTCTTTATGGAATCGTGTATATTAAAAAAAACTAAAATTTTATATTGAATTGAACAATAACCAACATTACAAATCGTGAATAATAAAAACTGTAACGTAAGTTATATATAAAATATATGTAAATATCAATTACTTCAAGATTTTTAAATATGAGGGGCGGAAGCAAAAGAAATTTAAGAAGATTAATAAAAAAAAGAAAAGGATATTTATTTGCAAACATTTAATAGGAACTTAAGTCGGGATGAAAATACAGTGAGTAATGTAAGATTGATCACAAGACATAGTACGTTAGGAGAAGATAGTAGATCAAAATGATTTAGATGAGCCAAAAAATGTTGAAGTAAAAGATATAGAATGCAAATTGGCAGGGTTTCCGCAAGACCAAAAATTAATTTTATTTCCTATTTTGCATGGATGCACTTAATTACAAGTAAAATTAACAAGAATCAAAACTCAAGCTCCTAAAATACCTATAAACATACAATGGAAAGCAAGTATCCAACTATTAAGAGACACCAATTTGGTGAAAATTTAATCCCACATGGTAAGTAATTGAAAAATATATAAATACATATTATATAAATCAATTAAAAATTTGTTTTATTTCACAGAAAATCCAAAAACACCCCAATGTTGTCAAATCTGGAAAAATCAGTATGAAGAAAAATTTGACCAATTAGTAGGTATGTGGATAAAAAACTGGTTCTATGAATTATATGTATTTATATTGAATTTTTTATTTAAATTTTCAGAATCCGTTAAACAACTAAAAAGTTCCATTGAGGAGTTGACAGGTATTAACATATGAAATAACTTTAAAGTTATTTAACAAATTTAATTGTTTTTATTGCACATATAGCCACTACAGTTCAACAAAACTGTGATCGCTCCCACGACAATTGGATCTTCGCTCCGGAACGACCCGAGTCATACTCGGCCAAAGATCGTCAACCCAGCGACAACTGTATCAACCGAAAGTTTTTTCCCCAGGAAAGAACTATCGGCCACAGTCGAACTGTTACAACAACAACAACAAAACTGTGATAATGGAAGCACTTGCCACACAAAAAGTGTTGACAGAAAAATTATTAGGGAAAGAGAAAATTGAGGCAAATTTAGGAAAAGTCTTCCCAATTCAGACTGCCGATGACTTAACAAATATTAATAACAATATAAATGAAACAAATCGTGAAGCTTATGTAAGTATTTTGTTATTATATCGCAATAGTTTTTATACGTATAATTCAAATAAACAACTTTAAGGCTCGTTGTATGTCATCTCTACTAAAAGGAAAATTACATAAATCACTGACTGAAATTTTTTCTCTTAATTTAATCATTGCGTCAAATATCGATGGTGTACATGGCAAAGTTTCGCTAAAAATTTTTAAAAAGCTCTATGATGTTTTAATGGGTAATTGAAATACATATTTTAGTTATTATTTGTTTAAATTCATCACTTATAATTGAATGTTTCATTTTATAGATTCAATTCGTGCCAACGGAGAAGAAAATCCTGAAAAAGGAATGAGATATGCTCTCAAATTAGTTAAAAAGCTTCATTTCCAATCAGTATGCGTAAGCAAAAAGAAGGAGGCTCCGGGATGTAATAATAAGCAAGTAATGCTTCCAAACAAGGATCAATAGTGGGATGATAATATAATATAACTTTTATATATCAAACACTAGTATTTTAGAAAGTAAAATATGTATAAGACTTTTATATTATAATAATAATAAATGCATTTTTAAATTAGCAAATAAATTCAAAATATAATATGAAATTCATTTTTAAATTATTGCGTTATTCAAAAATAATCAATTATTAGTTAGTCAATTTATATCTAACTTACAGTGCACTTTTATTTGTGCGCCATAAGCAAACTATAAATGAGGTAACTTCTGGTTAACTGAAACTGATGTAAAGGAATGAGTACTGACTCGTTCATAGGACATTACATAGTAAAACTGATTAGTTTTTTACAAAGAAAATGGTTTGCTTTTGAGTCACCTCTGACTCATTTGTGGTTAACCATAAGTTAGTTTTAAGTTAACTCAAAATCCCACTGGGGAGTTTCTGTAAAGGAAATTAAAATTATATATGCTTTAATAGTTGACGAACTCGCACGCAGTGAGGATGACTCCTTTACTGCGTTCGATGGCGCCAAATGGTCAATGGGTGTCAAAATCATCGGGTGTGGTAATGAGAAAGCCGATGAGTTGGCGGACCCTGGCCCAACGCAAAGATTGAAATCGTTCCATTGGACCAAGTACCTTTTCGTACGACGGAGAGAGTGTGGGTACCTCCTCCTATTCTGGAGGACAAATCCATACTAACACTAATTAAACGTCAAAATAAGGAATTTGCTACTGACAACTGGACGATTGAACGAGGACGCATGAAGGATAAGAGAGAAGGTAAAGATCTCTGGATCAAAATTGGTTCAGAATCTATCCGACTCCTTCGTTCCTCTCAAGGTGTCATAAAGTACGGGGTCAACCAACTTCGGTTGATCTTGCCCGCAGAGAAACGCAGTGATGAATCCAAGTGTCCTAAAGGTGGTACAGATTAATCTGCACCACTCCGAAGCAGCAACGGACGACTTGCTGCGCTTTATGTAGAAGGAAGTTATTTACGTGGCCTAATCCAAGAACACTGGCTTGCCGCCAGTAAAGTTAGAGCCGCCCATCACGAAACTATGTGCCCTTTTCTCCAAACCCCTGAAGGTAAAATAAGAAGCTGCATTTTGGTCAGGAAAGACCTTAAAGTTTTCCTTCTAATTACAGTTCTGGTAATTTATCGGTAGTTGCATTAGACAACAAGGGCTACCAACCCTAATTATATCATCTGTGTACCTAGCTTACGACAAAGACAATCCGCCCTAACGTGCCGTATGCACACTAGTAGTAATACAAGGGGCCATGATCTTGTCATAGGATGTGATGCTAATGCCCATCATACTATGTGGGGGAGCTCGGATATTAATGACAGGGGTGAGTGTTTACTTCAATACCTTCTAACCTAAGTGTTTGTAATAGAGGGAATTGACCAACGGTTTTCAATAAGATCAGGGAACAGGTCATTGATATTACTTTGGTAGAGATCACTGACTCAGTCAGAGTTCTTCATTGGAGAGTATCCGATCATCACAGAATAATCTTTACGATACAGCTTACTCTGGCTAGGGAAACCCCCTTTAGAAATCCTGTGAAAACCGACTGGTTTTAGTAATCTGATTGATACCATACCACCTACAGAAATGGATGGACTACATGGTACACCAGACTTGGACGACTCAGTAGATTATCTATCCAGGACTTTAAGGGAAGCCTACTATTCTTCATGTAGGGTGCAGCAGGTACCTAGGAAATTCCGGCAACCATGGTGGAATCCTAAACTAATGTAGCTAAGGAAAGAATATAGAAAACTATTTAATAAAGCGAAGAGGGATCAGAACCCGTTAAGCTAGGACGATTATCGTCAAAGCTTCAATACTTTCAAGAGGGATACCAGAAAAGCTAAGAAAGAATATTGGAATAGTTTCTGAGTGGAGCTGGAGAGTACCACGGAGGCATCACGATCCAAAGACCCCTGTACGCCTGGATTCCTGATGAAACCTGGAAGGTAACTTTACTCAAAGTAGCACCCAAACTCTGGAACTGCTTATGGAGACACACTTTCCGGGTTGCAAAGATGATGAAAATGAAGGCTCCACTTTGAAGCACCTCGCAGCTTCTCGAATCCACTTAAATGAATTAGTCAGTCCCATTGTTAGTATGGAGAAATTTTCGTGGGCGGTGTCATCCTTCAAGCACTATAAATCTCCAGGGCCAGATGGGATATTCCCAGCATGTCATGGCTAATTATGATATTTAGGAGCAGCCTGGAAACAGGATATATTCCTAAAGTATGGAGAGAGGTTACAGTAATATTTCTCCCCAAAGCGGGAAAAGTAAACCATAGTACCGCCAAAGACTATAGGCCGATCAGTCTGTTTTGTATTGAAAACATTGGAAAGATTGGTCGACATCCATGTCAGGAACATCATCTCTCCTGATAATTTCTGTAGGGCACAACACGCATACCTGAAAGGGAGGTCGGTGGAGACAACCTTACATGACGTTGTCGGAACTATAGAAAAGGCACTTGACATAAAAGAATATGCTATGGCATCTTTCTTAGACATTGAGGGTGCGTTTAACAACGTGAACATATCCGCAATAGTCGATGCACTGGGTGACTTAGGTGTTGATGAGCGGATTAAAAATTGGACAAAAAACATACTTAAGAGTAGGGCCATTAACTCTAATATGGGTATTGGCAAGACAAAGAATGTTGTGATAAGGGCCACACCACAAGGTGGTGTCATCTCTCCACTCCTGTGGAATCTTGCGTAAATAAAATCCTTTTCAGACTCAGTAGGATGGGCTTCAAAGAAGTCGCATATGCCGATGACGTTGTGCTTCTTATTCAAGGGAAATTTCTTCCCACAATAAGTGAACTCATGGACTCAGCCCTCAGCGTTCTACTATCATGGACCAAGGAAAACGGTCTGGGTGTCAACCAGGTCAGAGCTCCGCGTTTGGATGGTACCATTTTAAACACCTCAAGCGAAGCCAAATATCTTAGCGTAATCTTAGACTCTAAGCTCACGTGGAAACTTAATGCTGAGAATCGAATGAAGAAGGCATTATGTGCCTGCTATATGTATAGTAAGAAAACTTTGGGAAAAGATGGGGTCTTAAACCATACATTGTGCACTGGATGTACACCGCGGTCATAAGACCTATTTTGACATACGGAGCTCTTGTTTGGTGGAGAGCGGTGGATATTCTATTCTAAACAAGGTACAAAGATTAGCATGTCTTGCAATTACTGGCTGTTTGAGCTCCACCCCTCAGGTTAGTCTAGAGACGATGCTAAACATAACTCCCCATGATATATACATCAAATGCATTTCTGCTAAATCTGCTCTTCTTCAAGACCATAATACCTTGTCGGTATTATGATGATTGGACCGCGAATACTATCCTAAGGGACGACATGATCTCAATCTATATTGATGGCCCAAAGAAAGAAAGGTGCACGGAATCGGGAATTTTCTCCGAAAAACTAAATCTTCCACTGTCTATTCGACTACCTTCATGCAGAGAAAAAATTTTCCGAAAAATTAACATTTTTTTAATTCTTTTGTAATCGCACATAAATGTATGACAATGAAAACGCCTTCCAAAGTAGAATTTTGTAGCTTAGTGTGAACTGTAAAACTGGCTCTTAGAACTTAAAACCATAAGGAAATTAAAATTTCATAAGAATAAATAAGAAGCATTACTCAAATAAATTAATAAACGAATTTATTTGCATTTTGTGGTGTTTTTTATACAAAAATGTTTGTCAAAAGAAGTATATTTTAATATATTATAATATAACTTAATCTAAATATTTATGTATTGTTTATTGAATGCAGTACATAATTATATGTATATATTTTATACTAAATTTTGAATTAGTTTATTAAAAAGTTGTGAGCTTTATTGATTCTTGGAAGACAAATATAATATATATTTAAAATTGCAGCTTATAGAGTAGACTTAGTAACGTATGTATGTATAATATACAATTACAAAATAATTTCTTATATTCTTAAGGTTCGTTGTAAAAATTTAAATATCGTTGACTCAAGTCTTTTGTTCGTACATTTAATATGTATTTCATGTTGAATGCTGATTTATCTATGATTTTTTTCTTTTTAAACAATTAAATATAAACAATAAAAAATATGCATGTACGATATGCTAATTATAATAAATAATTTTGATGTTCACTAGAATTTTTATTTAGATGTTTCCTTTCCGGCCTCTATTGTTCATCCAGTATTAAATAATTTACACCATCATTAATATATTTAATTAGTTGCTACATATTTGGAATGATGCAAAAAATTGGCTTAGAAAAAATAAACACACTCAGTACTGTATGTATACATTTTTGTACATATGTATGTGAATTTGTGATTTTGATGGTGTATAATAATCATTTCTTCTTAATAGTTGTATGGTCCATATTGTGACCCATGATAATATGGACCGGTAAACATTTGAGGTTGAGGGTAATTGGCGTAGGGTGGGTAAGGTGGTTGTTTTTGAGAATAGACTGAAAATAGTAAAAAAAAATAAAAGTATAATAAAGTATAATTAATATAATAAAATTTTTGAAAACATTTTATACCATTTCCATGAATAATGTTAATAGATAAAATGGTTGCACAAACCGCATAAAAAATGTTTCTCAAATGGCGTAATTAGAATAGCACTTTTTAACAAAATTAGTCACCGATAAATCTAAATAACTAAATAATATTTCTTACAAAATCTCAAACATCATTCTAAATTTTGCCCATTAGTGTTTGAAACTAACTACGCTAAATTTTAGCGCAATCGGATAACGGGAATACGTGTCGAAAATCCATTAAAAAGTCTAAAATTGGTTAGATAATAGGACTTTTTTAAACATTGTGCTATTAAAATTATATTTTCTTAACATTCAAATCTTTGAGAGAAAATTATCGTTTCAGCAAGGTTTAAAACACTTTTTTAACATTTAGTTAAATCTTCTGAACATTTTATGAAACATTAAAAAAATTAGCAGCCATTAAAGTAATTACCCCCACATTCTTCCTACTTAAACCTTGGAACGGATAATCAATGACATGAATACAGACAAAGAACTAAAATATAAGTAACATGCTCATGTAAAGTTAATGTATTGACATTTTATCCAATTCTTAGATCCATTCCTAAGGTACAAATGGATAAGTACCGAGATCTACAATATAACTATAAGGAAAATGCTATTTCGCAGTTCCATTATGAAACACTGGCTTTATAATAGCGTAATTGGAACTTCTTTGATTAAGGCGATATCACGCTACTAGGTTAAAATCCAAATACTCATTCAGAAGAAAGCTTTGGATGAGTATTTGGAAAGCAAATTAAATTAAATGTTTACATTATACCATTGGGAATAATCAAAATACGTATTAAACAAAAATCTTTTAAATCGAAGTATTCGTATAATCACATTAATTTGATTTGTGATATTGAAATGTTAAAATCATGCACGATTTATTTAGGCAGGCCTCAAAAAATAGGATTTTCTGTTTACTTCGATATAAGTTAAACTTATTTATATAATTTTTTTATAATTACCTGGCATGAGGTATTGTAAGTTTAGTTGTTCTTCCTTTTCGCGCTCACTTCTCAAGCAGACTGCAGCACCCGATAATAGTATAGCCGATAGTAGACAGGATCCAACTCCAGCCCATGCAACAATGTAAGACCAGTCATAAGTAATTTTTGTGTTATCTTTTAAGACCTTTAAATATATAAATTATAAATAAATAAAAAAATTTGGAAATAAATATTTATGCCAATACGAAAAATACTAACAGTGTTCCATTGTTGGTAATAATCTTCTCCAACAACTTTTTCCTTTTCAAAAAATTCTACGGTATGCCAAAGGCCCATAGCACCAGCCGCAAGTAGACATGTTGCTAATAACAGTATTGATGTTGCTGTTATAGCACCAGATGATCTTTTCCAGCATCCGGAAAGACCGGTCCAAAAAGCACAAAATGTTGTTATAAAACTGTTTTAATTTAAAAAAGTATTAATTTTTCAAGTTTAATTCAAAGATTTTACAGTTATATGCATGGTAGAAAAATATTTTTCTACCATGCTTATATGTATTAAGTGCCGGTTCACACTGGGAAACTTTTGATTTTGTGTGTGAGAGAAAGAGATGGTTGATATTTCTTTCTCTTACTCTCACACAAAAATCAAGTTTCCCAAAGAAAGTTTCTCTGTGTGAACCGGCACTTAGTTTATCAAGGCGAATCTATAGAAGTCACTGGCAGATGCAATAAATTGGGGCGAATATGTTATTCATATGTTTTTCATTTTCTACTATCTAATAAAACAGAAATTATTAATTTATAATCGCTTTTGAATAAATCACACCATTTATGTTAAACTGGCGTAATTCAATATTCGAGTTCTTTAAATGAATAGAAAAAATATACACTAAAATTAAATGCTTTCATCAAAAAATTTACATTTAATAAATAAACTTATATGTACATTTACAAATGTAATTTTTCATTTTTAATATTTAAATTTAAGGAAAGTTAACTTTATTGTCGATATATTAAAATAAAATGACAGATTTTTTTCAAAAATTCGAATATCAAAAATGAGAAGGATCAATAGAAGCACTTTGAAAAGTTTTACGTAAAACTAGTAGATTTTAATCCAGTGGAAACATAGCATTAAACTAAAACCAAAGAATATTTATTACAATAATACGCATCTCGACGATCGGGTTGTTATGATTTACACGTATTTTTTATTTATCACGACCCGCTATTGAAAATGTATCTTGAACGAAGCGGACATTTCATGTATTAAATATTCTTTACTTAAACCCATGTTTTAATGAATATTTTATAAGTAAAAATTTAAATGTAATTTAGATGAGAAACATATTATTTAAATATTTAAAGAAATACCTAGTAATGTGAAAACTAGTGTAAATGGACTAAGTCAAAAAATAAAATTAAAAACTCAAAATAAGCGGAGCAAATTATTGTAAAACATTAAATTATTAAAAATAATACTTTACCTTAATATGAACATTGCCACACAGGAACGAGCTAAATGTAATCTTGAAGTTGAATCTTCACTATAACTTTTATCCTCATCCATCTGAGGGAAATAATCAATATTTGAACAATGGGTTTCAATTGGCGACAAATATGTTGGTACTAAAATTGTTGATATAAATATAGAAAAATTGTATCAACAATGTTTTATAAAAGATATTTTATTGAAATTTTGTTTTATATATCGTAGATTAATATAGGCTTTAAACTACTAAACATACATTAATTATTAAATAATTTACCTGCACTTGTGGGTGGTCTTTCTTTGGGATAGCATATCCTAAATAGACCTCTTGTTCTCGTGTAATAGTAGTATTTGTTGTTCAAGTTACTTAATAATGATTCGGCATCCGAGTGTTTGGCGGCAAATGTCTAAAAAATATTTTAATAGAAAAATTAAAAATACATATTGTTATTAAGATAAAAAACAATTGTTTACAATTAAAACATGTACCTATGTATGTACGTATATAATGTATACAATTATTTTAGCATCCTGTAAGCTTAAGTTTTAGGTGCAGAACTTAAAGCAAGCTTAGTATGAAAAAGATATGATAAATCTTTCTGCTATATTAAGAGGACATATTCTTCTGGTCAGCTGTTTTAGACACGACCACACATAATATTTGTTATGTTAAGTCTAAGCTATTGCGCCGTTCATGTCATACAGTTGACATCAATTAGTTTTGGAAACTGACCAACAAAATTATGTCACATATATGTATATCAACGGCAAGTCTTACTATCAACTCTAAATGATACACCGATAGAAATTATATTTTTAAGATTTCTATGAAATATTTTCAATTGGTGTTCATAAGATTTCAAAAATAATTTTTAGTTCGTATTAATAAATAATAGGGATAATATTTAATAACGAGTGCGTTATTTAATATTTATTCGTTAGTTTATTACTTCATTGGATATTTTTTTGGAAAGACAAACAAAATTATTTGACCATTTAAATAATAAAAGTGAAAACAACGACATATTTGTCAATAGAAAATGATAGTTTTATAACATTAAACAGACTTAAGCAGATCTATAGTAAATACTTGTATATTTAAGTTTTAAATATTAAGTATTACTATTATATATGTATGTATTTGCACGTAGATATGTATATTCATATATGCGTATATATGTACATAACTGACCAAGTAATTTTCACGTACGAACACCTTATTCTCTTCATATACACACTTTCCAATAATAACCGTATTAAACATAAAACGTGTACTTGATTTTACACATTTCCTAAATTACAGACTTATGCACAAAAATAAATCTATTTCGCATTTTCGACTTTTTAACGCAATAATATGTTCAACTGATTGAGAAATAATATATAATAATTTAGAATTAAATGATTTCATTATGATTTTTTATTTATTTAAACCTACTATTTATAAATCTCAATTAAAAGCCGGGCCTATAATGTATTTACAATATCTAGTGTTCAGATGTTTAGATAAAAAATATACTATTGAAAATACCTTTAAACTATGAGACTGATCTAATGAAACTTTGTTGCTTTTTTAATAATGTCAAAAAAAGAAGATTCGTATTCTCTCTCTTCATTATATGTAGTATATTCTACACAAAATTTTGACAGATCATATTACTTGTGTTATAATGTAAATGGGCTTTAATATGTTTATAATTTGAGTAGTTGATTGAATTATTATTAGTACGTTGTCCTAGGTCCGACTTGTCACCCCTTCGGATTTAATTACTCAAATTCTGGTATCCTTCTGGAGATAAGGAATACCATTTACAATTTAATAGACCCCTTTAAACCGACTCATACAGAACATTTATAGTAATATTTGATAAATGTTTGGGATGGTTTTGCAAAAATAATCAAGTTTTGTTGTGCTGCAACAAAAAATAATTCATGACCAATTGTCAACTTACGGCCATAGATACATATCTTGTTGAAACGTGATTTTTTATAAACTTTTTTCAAAATTTTTGTATAAATTAGCCATAATTTAATTCAAATTTTAATTATCGCAGCAGGAATGGAACAAAAAAACTATTTTATGAACGTGTCCATTTGTGAACACACGAGTTTGAAGAATGTAATTTTAAAAAGTTATTTTCAAACAATATTGAATATTTGGTGTTTTTCGTTCATATGTATATAATTATCCACCGGAAATTAATTAATTAAATATGTACAATGTTTTTTAATGTATAGTTTTTATTATATTTATCAAAGAATTATATGAACTTAAGTTAAAATGTTTAAAAATTAATGTATCCATGTTTCAGAAAAAAACATAATCGTCAAAAGAAGTGAAAATTTTGTTCCCTTGAAATTTTCATTCCCCTCGAAGAGAAAATTGCTATCGTGAACTTGCAGTGAACAATTCATTCACAATAGTTAATTTTGTATGCGGCAGATGTTTAATGTTTACAAAATTTCATCAAAAATTTTCACAACAGGAAAATTTTTTCACGTCAAAAAAAGTTAGTGAATGAAAAAAGTGAATAGGGAACATATTTCACGTAATTGGCGATAGGGGTGAATAACTATAGCTATTATGTATAATAGCTGTCATTATTTTACATTACAACCATAAAAATGGCACATAAAAACGTATCATCTCACAGAGGGAAAAAGAAATATACACGCCTGGTACCAAATTGACACCAAACTGTTTATAATTTTTCAATACCATCCGTTGTCAAATTATATACATACGTATGACAACACTATATACGTACGCTATGCATTTTAGGTAACGATATGTATGTATATAATGTGGGTTATATTGAGTAAGTAATATTAAACGTATACAATTTTTAAATGATTTTTAAGGATATAGTTGTAAAAGCTTTCCTTGCACAGAGGAAAAAAATATACACGCCTGGTACCAAATTGTAATCTTAACTTTATGCACACGTGGTAAGCTCACTATTTACAACGTATTTTGAGCTTACCACGTTTGTTAACTTTTAGAGAACGGATGTGCTTAAAGTTTAGATTGCGACAACTAATTGTTAAATGGTGGCACTAAAATTTGTAGAAAGTTTGGATATTGAGAAAAACTACACATTGAAATCAATGATCAATGGGCCCTTTGATAGCCTCGAAAAACACTTTTTAACACTCAAATTATACAACAACCTTCCAATTGGGTATGTCAAAAGTGTGGACTTTATAGACACAAAACGTGATGCTGCCGTGACACTATTTTGTACAATTTTATTCCATTCCAAAATACATATGTTTTCATATACATATTTTTGTATGCAAGATAAAAGGGAAAATATGCGTCCAAAAAAAAAAAAACAAAAAATCTAAAATACATTAAATAAACCTGAAATTAAACATATAATTATGATGGTCTTAGTCATATATAAATAATTTATCTATTTCTTTGTGTTTGAATTAATTAAAGAGCCATAACATGTTGAGAAAAAACTTATTGGAGATACTCTATTGAGAAAGACTCAAAAAAAGAACTTTCTTAAAAAATTCATTGCCAAAGTGGTTTATGTAAAACACACCAATAAAAAATTTATTGGGAAAACGGAAGTATGATCGAAAAAATTATTTCAATCATTAAAATATGTAATCATAAGATATATTAATCCTTTAGAATTTAATTAATTGTTGAAATCATTTAAATTTTATTTTAATCGTGTGATATTTATAAACAAAGAATGACTGATTAATTAAATTTATTTTTGTTGCATTTTTTAAAATAACACCTATTAAGTTCTTTGTAAGACATTAACCATGTGAAATTTTTAAACTATAGACAGTTACGTCAGTTGATCATATAAACAACAACGATACGCAATGAAAATTTAAACAAATTTCTATTTAATTGAAATTGTTTTGATTTGAAATCTAATGCTACTCTATAAATAATTCGCTACAGCCAAACTGATTTTTATCATTTGCTTTTATTTATTATCTAAACTGTTTACATTTGCGTTAACAATTTTCCAAAAAAAAAAAAAAAAACTTAAAAAAATGTGAAATATTTGTTTAGTTAAATATTTTTGTCGAATATGTATACACACATGTACATACTATATACATATGTATGTTTGTAATGAGTATTTGCTTAAACACATTGAAAAAACCCGATCAAGAGAAAAACTATTAAGTTTAAGACAGTTGGGTATTTTCAAGAGTATCTTAAAAAGAAACTCAAAACCTGTTTCACAATGAAACATACCTACACACACAAGTACATGTCTGCTCACAGATACTGAAATAATATTTACAGCCATATTACCAGATTGGATAATTTATCGTTATTTGGACGATTTTTCAATTCGATATTGGTAAAATGCAAATTTGTTAATTTTTGTATTTATATTTTTAATATATGTAAATGTACATATATATTTATAAAGGTAATGGAAAATAATTTAAATTATCTCATTCAACCGATAGATATTCTGACGTTTAAAATAATCTTTGTCTGAAAACTATTATGAACTATAAGACAATAACAAAGTAAGATGAAAACAGCTGTTTTACTTTTTTAAGTGTTAACATAAAAATACGTTAAAAAAGAGAATCATATGTAAAATTTTTCCCATCGATACTCTGCTTCACAAAATTTTGACAGATCATATTGCTTTTGTACTCGTAAAGCAAGATTTATATATAAAAAATTTTCGGATACAAATTCGAAAATCTTAAACTAATGTGTTTAAAGCAATAGTCATCCTATAGTATGATTTTTGCCACAGATTTATTACATATTTTACAAGTATCAAAATAATCCTAACATATTGAAATAGACCACTAAAAAATAAGAGAAAATATATTTATTTTTTTGCTGTTGCTGAAAACGTTACTTCTTTACGAGTATATATTTTCGCAAATAGTTACAGATCTGTATCATAATTCACCGGCAACAACGAAGTAGATCAATAATATAACTACGCAATTTTAAACCTTATAAAATTCTCAAATTATAGTCATATAATCTCTCCGTTCGTAAGTGTATTTTGAAAGTATAATAGGTATTACTTAAATAGGATGCTCCAAAGGAAATAAAATTTTCACAAATTTTCGCTGTCGTTTAAAAGAATGCACTGTCTTCCCTTCTATTAATTATTTAGCCAACACAGTTAAAGTAGACATTGAAATTATTATACGTTGGTAAAATTGTATTCAATCATAAAAATGTTTCAAGCTGTATATCAAAATTGGAAAATATTTAAAATTTGGACATGTTTCTACGATTTTTCGAAATTCATCTGGCAGCCATCATAACAGCCGTTCTCAAATATTTTTAAATGCTAACTAACATAACTTTTCTTGCAATATAAAAATTTGAAGTTCATTATATAAAAAAATTTTAAATTTTAAAAATCATATTGTTTATTAATAAATATGTATGTATTTAGGGGCATGTTTTGCAAATAAATATTTTTTATGCAAGCAAATTCTTACGGGTGAAATATTAAAATATTTTTTAACTTAGTTTCTCTATTATTATTTGTTCATTTTTTAAGCGCATATTTGTTGTTTTTATTTTCTTCTTTAAACTCGCATTCCAATGAAACGAACACGTACTCAGTGGACCTACCCAACTACATACATATATCCAATACATACAAACATGAAGAAATACATAACGTATAGTTTTGAGAAAAAGTTATTAAATGGTGGCACTAAAATTTGTAGAAAGTTTGGATATTGAGAAAAACTACAAGCAAAAAACATTCACGTAGTTAGCCTTTTTATACAGTATGAAATTTAAAAAAGCGACAACAACAACAAAGCACATAAAGTTAGTTTAATAAATTAATAATAGAAATTTAACATAATATTTGTTTATAAATATTACATATTATTAATAAATGTATATACATACGAATAATTTTAATATGTATGTATGTATGTAAATATTTATATATATAAAAAAAAACTATATAAAAATATTTAAATTAATATAGTTTTATACATATATATAACTATGTATGTATATGAATCTATGTGTGGGTTTTTTTAGAATGAAGGAGGTACACACCTGTATATTGTTTCTTTTCACTTCATAATGCAACCAGTTATCTGTGGAAAATGCAATTGCCAATAAAGCAGTTGCAATAATGGCGGATATAGTGGCTATAGAAAGCGTTACAGCAGAGCAGGGCATTTTGACTTTATTTGTTTTTCTTTCTTTTTGTTAATTTTTCTTTTATACTTTATTTATTTTTTATATTTTTAGTTTCACTAATTTAATTTAATCACTGCTCATTTTAAAAATACAAAGATTCCAACAAAAACCTTAAATATTTTCGAACAAAACCAGTTTTTTTGTTTTTTTTCTTCTTTTTTTGTATCTATGCGTTTTAACAATATACAAAAATTATTTATCGCAAACGCTCTGGACTTTTGTATTTACTTCTAAGACGATGGTTTAACAACTAACAGGTAAGATTCATTTAAGCTAGAGACCAAAACCAAGTTTTATTGTTATGAGAAGTTGAGAAATGAAAATGAGTAGTAACCAGTAAACAAGAAATTTAAAAATCAACTCAATTTTTTGAGCGTTATACACAAACCTCTATAGAGGTACATATGTATGTATATTGCATATTACTACCTGCCAAATGTAATAAAGTAATAACCAAATAAATCTTTGGCACATTTAATCTGAGTAGCCTAAGTACAGCTGTGTTCAAAAAAATAGAGGTGTTGCTCATACTAGGGTATTTCAAGACAAGTCGAGGTTTGGACATAACTTACCAACTTTAAATGGCTACGATTTCCATAATATTTTAAACAGTTGTAGCAAACTTATGTATATTAAAATAGTTTGGTGTAAAAATGTTTTCTTGCTCTCATTTGCTTGAGGAGTTACTGAGGTTTTATAATATAATCTGGAATATCTTCGTTATTGAAATTTTATATATTATTAGAAAGGGCTTTCAAACGATAATTTTCAATATTTTTTATAAATTACTTCATTTATTTTGCACGTTTAATTATTAAGGGCATTCATGAAACACGTGTGCAAAATTTGCTTAAATAGGCGATCAAATATATCAGCATTGTTCAAATAAAATCCCATACAATTTGTGACAAATTCAATGGAAAATGTACAGATGGCACCGTTTGTGAGGCTTTTGAAAACCCTTATTATCCTGTCTGTTCTGTAAACCGAATCCGAATTTCTCGTTTAAAAACGAATTCGCATAATTTTTCTCGTTTTAAAACCGAGTACATAAATCTAGTCGAAAGTAAATCGAATGTAATTTTATTCTAATAAATAAAATAATAATTTTTCTGTGTTTTTTAATACAATTGTAACTTAACCGAGGTTCCGATTGGAAGGGCTGTTACAATAAGCCTGGAAAAGGACACTAAAAACCTAAGAACACAGCATCAGTAGCCTCTACTGATAACGTCGAGGAGTCAAATCATAAAAGCGAGAAAGTTACTAGTAACTCACCGAAAGAAGCAGCCATTTCCAAAATTGGGAAGGCGCCGATTGAAAGGGCTGTCAAAACCAAATCCTAAAATCGAGGAGGAAATCACTCACTCTCCAGAAGACACAACAGCAGTGCTTTCCAAAATTGGGAAGGTGTCGATTAAAAAGACTGCTATTCCTATGCCTGATAACGATACCACAGTGCCATCAATAGTACCCACTGCATCAATAGCCATTTCAGGCTACCCGGACGAGTCAAATCCAAAGAGCGAAGAGATGAAAACCAACTCGCTGGAAGACAGTTTAATGGATGACCGTGGTTGATGTTATCCAAATAAACCTCCATCGGAGAAATAAAGAGGATATAGACACCAAAGTAGAAATGCAAAGACCTGCCCAGGAGAAACCCTGCGTAACAGAAGAGATCCGGAACCTTGGGAAGACTCTTCGCAAACTATTTACCGGACACGGCGTAAAAAACTGCAGTATACTGGGATGAATATCGTAGTAAACTTGGTGAATATAAGAAATTTGTTCGAAAAGCCAAACGAGACTCCTGGAAACTTTTCTGTTAACAGATAGACAGCGTAAATGTAAGTATAGTCGGGCCAGACCGACCATACTTACATTTACATTTAGGGTATCACCAGTTATGAATATTAAATGTGATTTATTTTTCAGTATAAAGCAATTATCTTCAATATTACCTTGTTCCGATACATTTAAGCAATTTATGGATGAAAAACTATTTTTCTGAAAGAGACTTTATATGGGGGCTAGAGGCAAATATGGACCAAGCCCGATAAAATTTTGTGAATATATTTATATAATATTTATTTGTGCTGAATTTCATCGCGATATTTGTGTTTATAAGTTAATTTTGGACATTCAAGTAATTTCCTGAAGGGGACTTTCTATGGGAGCTAGGTTCAAATGAGGCCCGATCTTTATGAAATTTGGCAAGGTCATCAATGCTTGTATAAAACTTAGTTGTGCCGCTTTTTATCGATATACAGGTATATTTAACATAATTAATAGCTCAGTAGTTCTTTTCGGTTGGTTCTGTTGTATGGGGGCCAGGTGAAATAATGGACCGATTTTAACCATTTTCAATAGGCTTCGGCGTTGGACAAAAAAGCGTGTGTGCCAAATTTCCTATTATCTTGATAATTGCGACCTGTATATTATACCCTACACTAAAGTGGTGTAGGGTATAAAAATTCCAAACTCATGTCCAACCGGAATCTATGGTCGATGACACGGGCAGGAGACTGGAGGATGTGGAGGAGACTCCTAATGAACTCTCATTTCTCAACCGGTATATCGAATAATGCTATGTTTCCACTGGCTTGAAATCTACTAGCAAAGAATATAAAAAAATTGGGGCTTGTCATTCGGTACCTAACTCTAAGTATGTATTGGTAGAATTTATGTATTAGTATTGGAGCTCCAACCACTTTCACCACACTTTCCAAACATACATACTTGCATAAAATCGTACATAAAAATTTTAGGAAAAATAAATAACATTTAAATTTCTACATTCGCAGATTTTTTTTAATTTATTTTGCCCACATCTAATCAGTAAACATTTAATAAATATATTTTTCGGACTTAAAATCTCTTTTTTTTTTTGCAAAAAAATAATTTTATTTTGAATAATTTTTTCATTTTCAATACCAAAATATACAACTTTGTTTTGTCAATTTTAATTTCAACACACAAAAATTAATTGTCAAAAAAATTAAAAAAATATTTTTTTAGTTTGTGAAAAATAAAAATATTTCGGATTGTTAAATGCGATAAAATTGTGTAAAAAATTAAAAAATAGTTATGTGTTTGTGAAAAAACGTCGTTCAAGTCCTATTATCCCGGTATTTTCGCGAAAAAGTTTTGAAGTATTGTGAGAGAATTGAGTTCTCACAAGTGTGTTGAATTTACACAGAAGAGAAGGAAATGTTATTGTTGTAAAACAATGTCATAGTCCAACTTCTTATTATTCTTTGTCTACTAGCTTCTAGTAAACCTCTTCAAGGTGTTTCCACTGAGCTGACTTGTTTTTGGTGTTCGAATTTTCAAAGTAAATTTGACTTTTTATCTATAAAATTAAAAATAAATAAAAATAATAAAATAAATGAATATAAATAGTGAATTTATTTTAAATTATGCGCTAAAAAATAGTACCATGATCGCTTGAGTATGCAATTATTTTTCAAATACCGTTAAGTTATATCAATGATATGCTGGCGAAGGATAAGAAGAATTTAAACAAAGAAACATATCCTGATTCTTCTTGCCAAACGTGCACAAGTAAAACGCCAAAGGTAGATGACACGGGCAGAAAGCTGGAGGACTCCTAATGGACTCTCATTTCCCACCCGATATATCGAATAACATAGATGAACCGATATTGGAGGAAGGGGAGGATAACACGGAAATTGTAATTATATAAAGCTACAGGGGCGGATGGCATTTTCCCGGTACTTGTGCAGATGGAGGCGGGACTGGTTTCCGTACAATTCTAGCTTATGCTTCAATAATCTGGTGGACTTCTTTAGACAAAAAGAGTAATATCAAACTACTACAGGGAGTTCAGCGTACATGCTGCTTAGGAAAGTGGTGCCATGTATACTACTTCAACCAAGTTTCTTATGTCGAATTTCATAACCATATTTCATAGCTCGTATTTTTAAGCAAGCAATGATCGTTTAAGTAATTTTCTGAATGGGACCTCATATGGGGGTTGTGGTCAATTATGGACCGAACCACATACAATTTGGTAGAGAGATTTTGGCTCGCGAGGAACCTACTTGTGTCAAATTTTATCGCTATACTCGTATTTTTTAGTCAGTAATGAACGTTAAAGTAATTTTCTGAAGGGGACCTTGTATGGGCGGTAGGGTCAATTATGGACCGATCCTCGCTAAATTTTGTAGAGAGATTTTGGCTCGTATAAAACTTATGTGTGTCAAATTTCGTCACAATATTCATATTTTTAAGCCAGTAATGAGCGTTAGAGTAATTTTCATAAGGGGACCTTATATGGGTCATTTATGGACCGATCTTAAAAAATTGTTAGATAGGTTTTGACTCGTAAGAAACTTACATATACCGAATTTTATCGCTATACTCGAATATTTAGGCCAGTAATGAGTGTAAAAGTCATTTTCTGAAGCGGACCGGATTCAATTATGGACCGATCCTCAGAATCTTATTTATGTCGAATTTCATCGCTACTTCTGAAACAGTTATGCCTGTTAAAACTGTTTTTTGGAGGTCCACTTGCATGGGGGCTATCCGAAAACTTGGACCTATATTGCCCATTTTCAATACCAAACAAACCTTATAGAGAATATTTATGCAAAATTTCAACTATCTAGCTCCTCCCGTGTGGTCCCTATCGTGATTTCAACAGACAGACGGACGGATATGGCTGGATCGTCTTAGAATTTAATATGGACCCAGAATACATATACTTTTGTGGGTCTATAACCAATATTTCGATGTGTTACAAACGGAATGACAAAATGAATATACCCTCCATCTTTTTTGATGGTGGGCATAAAAATCTTATAAAACTTTAAAAATATTTCACAAAATTGCTTGATTATTCATGTCTTCTTCCATCTGTGGCGCTTTTTTAACCCTTTAGTAGTGCATCACGTTTTTTGTAATTCCATATTTCAGAATTATGTGTATTTATAAAAGTCTATAACATCATAATTATAAGAGAGCAAACCAAGAAAATAGTATTGTTAGATTTCTTATTAAAAGAACTATAAGAATTTGAACCGTTTAGAGTCGGTAAAGAGTTCCGAGTTTCGAGATTAGTTTCGAAACACTGTAAAAGTCCGGAGAGTGAATATGAGTGTGAGTAAACTTGACATTGAAATCGGTTTAGCGTTGTCCACCTGTGCAAACAGCCTTTTTAGTTAAATTGTTTATCTCCCTGCACTTATGTTTACTGAAAACAATTTTCTGAGTAATCGGAATACAAATCTTGAAAAA